AGACCAGTGGAGTATCTTAGATGGCTGCTCACAGGCTTTTAAGACCCCAGACGCTACTCACCAAGGTAGAATGTAGAGCATTGTCTTTATAAACTTTGTTATGCCAATTGAGCTAGATGTTCCCCAAGACCATGGCCCCCACTGTCAAGAGGGCTTATTTAAAGTTTACAAGTCCCACCACCTCAAATCCACACCTCCTGCAACTCCTGCCCTTATTCAGACCAGGATAAAATCCGCTCAACAGGGCCCACTGCTCTCCTGGGTTGTTTTTTGGTTGTTTTATTTTAACTTTTTATTATAGAAAATTTCCAATGATAGTACAATAGTAGGAAGAGTAACAAAATGAACCCTCGTGTTCCCGTCACCATCCCACTGATTATCCGCTCGCGGTTTACCATTCCATTTACACCTCCCCTTTTCCCTGGCCCCTACCCGGCACGGGAGGGTGAGGATGGTGCTGCACCCGTGGCAGACTCAAACGGGTTACAGGCCTGCTGAAATCTCAACCTCTGGGGTGGCTGGGTGGGGCCTGGGCAGCCAGAGCCCCTGAGCAGCAGCATCCTGTGGTGGGAAGCCTCATTCATGGACTCCAGGATGAAGGACAAGTAACGTATACATGCACTGCGATGCAAGAATGCTCACCAGTCATCAAACACCTTTTATCGCATTCAAAGCATCTAAGGCAGGTCAACCAGGCTCAGTCCCCATGTTTCTCATGGGTTTCAAAAGACCCTTGTTTACAACCCTGATTATCCTCTAAAGAATCAACTCTAAAAAAATAAGCTCAAGAAATAACAGCTCAGATACTTATAATCAATGAGAATCAATAGTGAGGGGGAAATAAGGTAAAAGATAATGAATTAGTATTAGTTATAGATTGCAGATCCATTTTAATTAAAACAGGGAAAACGCCCTGTCAGTCAAGAATAATACAAAAACTTGACCCTGACCTTATTACAACAGAGTGACTGAGACAGTCCTTGATACCTGGGTCTGGGGTAGTATTTTATGTTTGTGCTTCTGGAACTTTCTGACACATCCCCAGAGGACCAGGGTTTTCTCCACACATGCGCTACAAGGCATTGCCTCCCTGGATGGCAAGAGTGGAGAGTGAAGTCATCCTCTACCTTCTGCAAAATGAGAAGTTGGATGAATACAAAGGCTCCTCCAACTCTAGGACCCTGGAGGTGTGTAGCGGCCCTGGAAGGCAGGGTCACGTGAGGTCTGACCCTTGGAGAGAGAATGTTTCCGAGACAGCAAGGGATCCTCCTCAGTCTCCATTCTCAGAGCCCCTTGCACAGAGCTCTGCTCTGGCTACCTGCTGGCCTCTCTGAGAAGCAGAGGGACTCACACTTTTCTACCCCGAGCTGCACCCCTGCGAGACAAGAGCCCTGTTAGGTGCCTTCATTTGCGTGGAAGAGAGCCGCAGCAGAGCCATGTGTTCGTCTTTGGCGTTCTCGCCCTCTAAGTTGCCTAGCTTCAGACAAACTTGAATTGGCTTCAGACTAGGCTTTTGTTTCAGAAGAGCAATGAAGAAATGGCCTTCCTAAGCAGAGAAGGGAGCCCTGGTGGCGCAGTGGTTAAGAGCCTGGCTGCTAACCAAAAGGTCTGCAGTTTGAATCCACCAGCTGCTCTTTAGAAACTCTATGGGCAGTTCTACTCTCTTCTGTAGGGTCGCTATGAGTCAGAATTGGCTCAGCGGCAATGGGTTTAACAGGTTTTAAGCGGAGAAGAATCACCAAAGAATTTTTCTTCCAAGCAGCAAAGGAAGAAAACTTTTGGCAACCACATGTCAGCTATTGCAAGGATGTCTGCCCTACAAAGATTCTCTCTCTAAAGGGATTGAAAATCGTTGTTGGGAAGATAACAGATCAACACATCCGTCAGGAATACCGGGTGTTCCGAGCCTAGCTAGAGTGCCCTGGAATGCCAGTTTGAAGCCTGAGATGTGTTAAATTCTTAGATATCCGTGTTGATATTAGGGCCCGGACTTCCCCAATGGGAACCTCTTTTTTTATATTACAAGGAGCCTGACCTGAGCTCCTCTCTGGGGAAAGCACAGAGCTGGACTCATTCCCCCACAGGAGGTTAAATTTCTCCCACTCTGGGGACGAGAACTCACTTCCTGAGTCTTTAAATTTTTCTAGTCTTTTATTTTGACTTGTAGGATTGTTAGTTTCCTTTATGGTTACCTTAATATTTACCCCTATTTTTCTAAGTTTATACCAGTCTTTAGTTTCTTTACATCACCTTGACTTCCTCTCCATAGGAAAAGTCTATTCTACATTTTTTAAGTCCCTCTTTTTTGTTTTAATGTTGTCATCTTTTACATACTGACATCTGTTTCCCTATTTTCAGTGTTTTAGCTTTGATTTATTTTTGTGACTTCCCTATCTGGGTTGATATCTGGTTGCTCTGTCCTGTGTTCTAGTCTTGGGTTGTTATCTGATGTTACTGATCTTCTAATCGGAGGACTCCTTTTAGTATTTCTTGTAATTTTGGTTTGGTTTTTGCAAATTCCCTAAACTTCTGTGTATCTGGAAATGCCCTAATTGCGCCGTCATGTTTGACAGACAGTTTTGCTGGATATATAATGAGAACTTCCCGACAACATCAGGACATAAGGAGCTGGGGGAAATTTCCAGCCGCCCACTCACTCCTGCCACTGACTGAGTGGACTGGGGCTATTTTCACTGCACAGAAACACTACAGGAAAAGCGGCCCCTTGTCTGATCTCCTCAGCTAGTCCCCTCCTTGGTGCTTAAAGTGTTGCTAACCTCCAGCTAGGCCAATCTGCACATCTGGAGTTGGCTCAAACAAGGAAGACCACAGAGAGAATAGGGCCAGTGACAGGTCTCTGTCACCATCTAGGGGCCAGTGTTGGATATGCAGCCTATGGCCAGGGACAAACAGGAATGTTGCTGTTTCCCATGGCGTCTGCTGGAAGGACCTCTTGGCTATGGGTCATCACCCCAGCAGGTGACCTAGTATGGTGCCACAGGCAGCCACACCCGGCTTGTCTACATGATAGCAGGCTTCAGACATCAGACCTAGCTGTCTGCTTGACTATGCTAGCCACAGTGGTATTGACACCAGCCAGTCCAATAGCTCACAATCCTGGGAGGTGGGTTATTGGTAAGAAAGCAAGATGATCCACCGCTTTTGTTAACCCAGGTCAGGGCAGAAGCACGGTTTGCTCTTGCCCAGTGGTGGTCCTTGCCCCTGTCACCTAGGCTGTGGGAAGAAAGGCCACCAGCAAGGCTCCATGGCTATAGCCAAAGCATCCCTCCTGAGATGCCCTTCGTACATACTTGGGATTGAGGGGCGGGGGCTCTGGCCACGGCTGGGCATGGGTCACTTTGACCTTGAATCACAAGGCAAGTCCAACACAGGCCAATTCAGATCATGGTTTGAAGTCTTAGCCTTAAAAGTTTCCTGTTTGATTAAACATTTAAAACCCATCGAAGGGGTGACGGGGTGAGAAGGACAGGAAGCGAGGCAGGGCTGTTTTCCAGGGGAGAAGGAGGACACGTTTCTGTGGAAAACTCGGGCTCTGGGTGGAGATCTGCTGTGATGGCTCTCCTGAAGCACAGAGAATAACCGGAAGCAGAGACCCAGCACCTGCTCCAACTCCAACATGTGTGTAGTGGGAGGGTGGGTCCTACTGAAAGTCAATGACTTTGCAATTATTTTAAAAATCTATAGAGTTGAAAATAGCCCTGCAGAGGGTAATCAAACATCAAGATCTGAAGGCCACCCCAGGAAGCAAAGGAGCATGAACCAAGTGGTCCAAGAGAGAATCTGTAGTGGCTATATATTTCTCTATGACTTTACACCCCAAAGCCCTGCCCAGCTGCCCATCAGCCTGGAGATTTACCAGAACAAGTGGGAGGAGGTCATCTTGCCCTGAGGCAATGGACCAGGAGGCAGGAATGCTTCCTCCCCTACAACAAAATCACTCACACCCCTTTCCCTGGCCAAACCCCTCCCCTGATCCCATCTTCCCACCCTCTCGTCCTTCCAACCCTTGGGGACTCTCAGCAAAGTTCTCAAGGTGAGTTCTACCTGCTAGCGCAGCATTTTCTCCAAGTCTCGGGCACTCCATGGGCAGTCAGCTGGAGCATTCCATGGCCTGCCTACTTGGAGAAGCAGACGGAGAGTGTGGCACCAGCAGAGAACACCCAGAAGGCCGGGTACACAGCTTCAGTAAAGTCCACCCTGTATTTATACAGCAGGTGGATCTTGTCGGAGACGGCGAAGAAGATGACAAAGCCGTACTCACAGTTGAGAAGCACGCCGACCCGCGTGGCCTTGGTGAGGGGCAGGGTTTTCTCCACATTGTTGTGCCAGGCTGAGATCTTGGTGTTGAACCACTCCACACACCAGGAGGCGCTGTTGCGGCCAAGCCGGCTCTCAGGGCCCTGCCGCTCCATGGTGCCGTAGCAGATGCCCACCCCGCAGAAGTTGCTCTTCTGCAGCTCCACCTCCCAGTAGTGGACCCCTCTCTTGTAGCAGTGCAGGCCCAGCACCTGCGAGCAATATGTAAACCTCTGGGGATGTGGCCGGTAATTCTGGGGGGTTTCAGCCACAGAAGCCGTGGTGTAGTTCTCTGACAGAGCCACCTTGTTATGGGCGGTGTTGAAGTCCAGGATGACTTTAGTGGCATCTGAGAAAGGAGTAATTACAATGATCCTAAGTGCTCTCACTTTTAAACCTTTCCCCCAATGAATACTATTTGTTCGTTTGTTTCATCCATCCATCCATCATCCATCCATCCATTCTATTCAGCCAACCAGCCATTTGTCCACCTATCTACTACTCCAGTAATCTGGCCATCTATCAGTCATCAGTCTGTCCATTCATCCATCCATCATCCATCCATCTATCCATTCTGTCCAGCCAACCTGCCATTTGTCCATCTATCTATCCATCACTTCAGTCATCTGTCCATCTGCCGGCCATTCATCTGTCCATCATCCATCCCAAACCATGTCCTGAGCACCTGATTCATGCTGGATTCATGCAAGACACACAGCCACAAATCAGAGAGACATGGGGCCTGGCCTCGTGGAGTTTGTAGTCCAATAAGCAAAGCAAGTCTGTCAGCAGCTGGAAGCCCAGAGAAAGTGAAGGCTTGGGATCAACCAGGGCTGGGGGTTAGTCAGACTGGACAGCAAGAGGGGGATTCAAAGAACTGGTTGTGGAGCCTTAAACTGGCTAGGAAGGGAGGTGAAGAAGGGCAGGCACTGACGGACGGGAGAAAGTAAAAGAGCAACACAGTAGAGGGCAGCTGAAAGAAGGAGCTGACCAAGGTAGCCAGCGGGACCTGCAGACAGAGCCCAGGACAAGGAGCCGTGGGCAGCTACTCACACTCCAGGAGCTGAGGTCTGGTCATGGCTAAGAAGGCCTCCAGCGTCTTGGCCTTGACTGCTGCAGTTTGCTGTGAGACGGCCCCTTTGGCTGTAGCAGGGAGAAGAAACAGCTGTTTTCAAAACAAACTCAGAGTGGAAAGTCTACTGCCCCTTGCCCACAAGAACTCACCCTCCGGGTCAGCTTGTTCTGGCTCTTTGAAGGTGGGAGGCTTGCTTGGCAAGGAAGGGGCAGGCGCTGGGAAAGAGAGAGGAGAAAAATGAGTGGGCAACAGGACAGAGTAACTCGGTGCCGCCTACTCCTTTCAAAGCTGATTTCCAAGAGCCACTTCCACAAACACACACCTGGGCTGCCTAGGCAACACAGGTGAGCCCAGACAGGCCTACTGCCATCTTATTCATCTTAATCATTTATACTGTCCTCCCCTCCAGCCTCAGGCCTGCCTGTCATTACATCATCCTAAAACTCAGGTCCCATCATAGAACTCTGATAAGAGAGGCTGTTTGTAGCTGCCAGCATTTAATTCTGCGCTTGGCTGGCCTCGAGAAATAAAAAGACATAGAAATGCGTAACTTACTGGGTCTCTTGGCTTTCTTTTCTTCTTCTGAAAAAGAAAGTTTTCAGAATTACGAGTGTTTAAACCACAACACAACGACACTTTCATAAGACCATAATAACATCTATTTGCGTGAATGTGACCTGTCCAAATAAAGCTAGGGTTTTTGAAGCTAAAAAAGATCAGGGATCAACAGGCAAAATGAATCTATGTTGACAGAAACCAGATCAATGGTTGTGAAGGAGGGACTGGCTGGTAAGGAGCATGAGGGAATTTTCTGGGATGATGAAAATTCTTTATCTTGAATCACTTTCAACATACACGGGACTCAATTCATTCCTGAATTTGGCTTTCATGGTTTCAACTATTTTCAAGCTCCATGAGCTTGAGCAGGTCCATGACGTGGAGCAATGTGTCATTCTGCTGAGGCAGGAGGGCATGACCTTGCTAGGAAACAGGCCTCCGGATAGATCTGCATCCACAGCTCATTCCCAGGAAGAATGTGCTAGTGTCTGTGACTTGGGGCAGTGGGGAGGAAGCTTTCAGGGAAAGTATCCCTTGAGAGGAGTCCCTAGGTGGTGCAAATCGTCAAGCTCTTGGCTGCTAACTGAAAGGTTGGAGTACACCCTGAGGTGTCTCAGAAGAAAGGCCTAGCAATCTATTTTCAAAAAATTAAACATTGGAAACCATATGGAGCACAGTTCTACTCTGACATGGGGTTGCCAGGAAGCAGAGTTTAGCCGTTGAGAAGGATACAGGTTTATGGTACTTTTCCACCTACTCTTTCACTTCCCTTTCACACAAAGTACCTTCGACACTTCCCAGCTTGGCTGAGGGCCCCCTCCTCCATCTGCACCCAGGCATCCCAGCCCCTGCAGGAGTCCAGTAAAGAACTAATGACACACATCTGTCTGCTAAAGACAACCTAGACATTGAAAACAAACAAACAAAACCCCAGGGTCCTCTCATCCCTCCAGTCACCCATGGTGTGGAGGCGTCACTCCTTGGGATCACTACTTTTTAGGGAGACACTGACAGCTCACATTTCAATGGCATGGTTATGGTTCGATATCATTATTGTCCAAGCCTCCATCTCAAATGAATGTGCATCCTCAACAAGGGCAACATTGTCTCCAAGGGGGCAAAAATGGGCTCTTGGAGAGTGAAAAAATCTTACTCTTTTCTATGTATAAAGCCCAGTTATAAACAGATATACAGTACACCTGTGGCATTAAAATTGTATGGGGGGGTGATGAGGAAAGAATTTGTCTAAGAAGGCTTGGGGATGGTAAGAAGAGTGATAATGAACCAAAGGTTGGGAAACACCGCAATGGCAGATGCACATTACAACTCAAAGCTAAACAGCACTGAGCTACTGACGAGGTTTGACCTCTGTTCATCAGGGACCACCGCCAACCTCCGCCAGAGGGCTCTGCCCAAGGCCCAGAACTTGGTTCTGGAAATAAGCCAGTAAGTTGGTGATTCGACTGCTCCAGACAGCCCAGACATGCTACGGCAAGCCCTCCTACACGCCCCAGGGGAGCTTCTGCAACTGCCATGCCCTGGGATCTGTAGTCTACTTTTCTCCAGACGAGGCTCGGGCTCGACCAGTGACCTGAGATGGGCTTGGGCCCCCCTGGAAGGAGCGGGGACACCTGTGAGTGTCTCACCCAGGCACCTGCCAGCCACAGCTGTGCTATTGCCATGGAGACAGTAGTGGGGTTACTTACTTGGGGCCTTCCTCACAGGGCGTGGCAACTTGTACGTGGAAGGTGGGACAGGCTCTCCAGGATCACCTGTGCCAAAGAAAAAGAGGTTCGTTTATGCAGCTCTTCCCCATCAACCTTAGGAGCCAGGTTTGCCATGGGCAGGCAGGTAGAGGGTTTATAAAGACAGCCATTTCCACTGGCCTTCCCCCATCCAATCATTTACAAGAGCTAGAAAGAAGGTGGAGCCCTGGTGGCATAATGGTTAAGAGCTCGACTGCTAACCAAAGGGTCAGCAGTTCGAATCCACCAGCCGCTCCTTGGAAACCCTAGGGGGCAGTTCTAATCTATCCTATAGAGTAACTATGAGTCCGAATTGACTCGACGGCAACGGGTTTAGAAAGAAGGTACTAGGAGGGCCAGTTGGGTGTGCTCCCTCTCTTCTCTGACATAGAATGTAGCTGGGATCAAGTGTTTTCTCCCTCACCGCCCAGCTCTGTGACCTCTCTGAGCTTGGTTTCTCCCAAGCGTATGATGGGGATGATCCCACTGTGCTCATGGTTGATGTGGTCACAGAATGAGACAAAGATGCCTGGCATGTAGCGTTTGCTCAATTAATATTAATTTCTTTCCTACTGGTTTTCTCTCTCCCTCCTCCTCGCACAGACCATGGATCACCGACAACATGACAGGACAAAATATATGCATGGTTAATTCATCAACAGCTTCACCCTCTATAAAGCACTTCACACCTGGATTCCCACGGAGCTGCACCACAACCTGTTTCAAAGCCACTTTTCTGCAAGAACGCTCGTCTTTCCAAGCGGAAACTCAAGCCCACTGCCTGGATTACACAACAGATAGCTTCTCTGTGCCAAGCTCTGTGCCAGCCACTGGGGAGACAGCAATGGACGAGAAACAGACACAGACTTGCCCTCAAAAAAAGCATAATCTGGTGGGGAAGACAGACAGGAGTCACAAGGTAGAGTCAAATGACGGATGTGCAAAGGGCCCTAAAGCGATGATAAGGATCCTACGACCTAGTGTGAGGACTGAGAGGGGTGGCAGGGGAGGCTTGCAGAGAAATGCAGTGTTTCAACTGAGCTTCCAAGGGGGTTAACTGGTGGAGATGATGGAGTTGGAGTCCTCCGGGCAGTGGGGGAAGAGCACGTGCAAAGGCCCTGTGGCATATTTGAGGACGTGAATACAGAGATGAGGAAGCACCTTGGAGCTTGTAGGCCAGTCAAGGGTCTGGTATGTAATCTAGCAGCAATGGAGAGCCCCTGGAGCAGCAAAGGGCAGTGAGGGGGAAACAGTCCCAGATCAGATTTGCATCCTGAAAAGCTCTCTTTGGCTGCAGCAGAAGTAGATCCAGAGGGACCATTTAGGAAGCTGCCACAGTCATGGGCACAGGTGGTGGCAGCTAGGAGCAGGCTCGTGGTGGCATCTGGGACTGGGACTGGGGGACCGGGTCAGGAGATATTTAAGAAGCAAACTCTGGTGATGGATTGGATATGGAAAGGGAGTGTCATGGAGGATTTCTGAGTTTCTCTCACCCTAAAACTAACCATTCACCCACCAAACACAGTGACAACTCGAAGTCCATTCAAAACCCATCACAGCCTACCTCAATGGTCACACTCTACAAGAGCTTGTCCAGAAAGACCCACATAACAACAAGCCCCCAGAGTTTTCTAGAAGGGATGGCTATAAAGTCAGGATAAGCCAAAGACTCCCCACTATCCCCAGTGAAGGGTAGATGTTCCAGGGCCCCTGAGTTGCAGGCCCCAATTCTCCATATCACGCCCCTCTTCTACCCAATTCCTCCCTCCAGAAAGCTGAGGGGACCCATCTAGCCCCTGGTGGGGAGACATGGGTTGCTAATGTCACCTGGGCTGGTGGAGTCCTCGGGCCTCTTCTCCTGGGACTGACTGACATGCCGCTTCAGCTCTTTTTTGAAGTCTATGGTACCCTGATAGACCCCCTTTATCAGCTCATGATTCAGCTCGACCTTGGGCACGTAGACTGGCTTTGTTGAGATTCCTTGCAGTTTTGAGGCTTTCTGGAACAAGTCAAGGGGTTAGTGCAGACAGGCAAGCAGGGCCTGGGCCCCATCCTCATGAACCCAGGGAGAAGCTTCCCTGAGCCCACGGGTGCTAAGTCCAATCAGCCTTCCCATGTGGCAGGCTAGAGGTCACCAGGGGTTAAAGCACCACTTGAAAACACAGTGACTTGGAGCTGGAAGGGACCTTGGAGATCCCTCATCTTACAGATGGGGAAGCTGAGGTCTAGAGATGACAAGTGGCCTTCCAGGAACTCTGCCAACTAGTGGCAGAGATGAGTTTGGGACACAGGTCTCCAGATCCCCAGGACAATGCTCTTTCCACTCTGCCAGCTGCAGCTGGAAAAGTACAGGAGACTCAGTACCATCTCCACCCCTCGAGGAACAGCTCTAAACACATGTTCTGATGACAGACAGGGGGACCTCAAGGGATGAAGGACTGAGCCAGGCCACGTCCTATGGAAAGAGAGGGTCTTAGTGATGGTCCCAAACTTTGAGACAAAGTTGAGTCATGTAGTATCAAGAGGCCCAGATGTGGCCTCGGAAACCCTCTCACAGAGCTCAAGGCAGCTAGTCTAACAAATAGGAATGAGCACTTGGGATGAAACGTCATGGCATCCAGGCTAGGCAATGGATGAGAAGCCTGTGAACAGGGAAGAAAAGTTTCCAGTCACTCCGGGACTCTCCCAGGACTTGAACAAAGAAGCTAGGACTTTGTGGTGCCCTTAGCAGGTGACCCAATCAATAGGACTGACCAAAAACCCCCTGCATGCAGGCACTCTGCAGGCACTGAACAAGCAAGGAGGGAGAGGATGGCAATAAAGGGTGGGCCCCCCTCAAAAGGAACTTACAGTCAAACCAGACATGAAAACAAGCCCATCTACAACACGGCATGAGGGCCATAGTGGAGGCAGCGTAACATGCTCAGGAATACCACTAATGGCATAATAATGGGAGCCCTGGAAGACGGGAAACTGTCCTTGGAGCTGGCCTTGGAAGAAGGCCAACAAATGCCAGTGTGTCTGCGGAATGGTGAATCCTCTGCTGGGCTGGGGCTGAGTGGCAAGAGCTGGCAAAGATCGCCTGGTCACCAAGGACCTTGTGGGCCATGCTAAGGAATAAGAAGCCAGAAAGGGCGGGTGGGGGTGGGGAGGAGCAGGGGGAATCTGTGCTTTAGAAAGATACTTCCAGGGGCCTTGTGGAGGAAGGAAAAGAGGAAGATGGTGGAGGTGTATGGTACACACCCCATATACCTGTGAATACAATGGGGTATCACTCCCATGATTAGGTTATGTTATGTGGCAAAGGTGAAGGAATTTTGCAGATGTGATTAAGTTTCAAATCCACTGATACTGAGTTCATCAATAGGGTGAGTATCCTGGGTGGACCTGACTTAATCAGGTAAAAGCCCTTAAAAGGTGGACTGGGCCTTCCTGGAGGGAGTGATTCTCCTGCTAGCTTTGAAGAAGTAAGCTGCCAAATCAGGAGAGGGACACATGGCAGCGGACTGCGGCAGCCTCTTGTAACCGAGAGCGGCCCCTGGCTGACAGCTAGCAAGAAAGCAGGAACTGCACTCCTACAACTACAAGGAACTCAATTCTGCCAGCAATCACGTGAGCTTGGAAGAGGACCCTAAGCTCCTAGCCTGGCTGACACCCAGACTGCAGCCTTGTGAGACAACTGCTAGGCCACGCCCAGAATCCTGAGCTGCGTAAATTGTGAGATAATAAATGAACATTGTTTTAAGCCACTATGTTTATGGTAAGATGTTATGCACCATAGAAACGAGACAGCGTGTCTCAGGGATGCTTCCAATGACCTCTTACAGCCCTAACTCCTTGAGGGCCCGACTGCACCTGCATCAACATCGCAGCGCTAGGCAGAGAGAGTGTTCAACAACACTGACGACCCTCACCAAGACTCACCTCCAGAAACTCAAACTCATCCCCCTTACTCAGGGCAACTTCAATCTCCTCCTTCAGGGTCTGGATCTCACTCTTCTTCTTGAGGAGGACCTGAAAAATGTGGTCAAACTTGTAGCTGACCCTCTTCTCCTCTTCCTTTATCTTCCGTGTAGAGCTGGCCTCTGAGGCCTCAACGAGAGCCTTTATTTCCATGTATTCTTGTCTGATCTCATCAATCTTCCTGTTTGCTGCCTCCTACAGAGGGCCAAGATGAGACAAGAGGGCACCGTCAGACTGGCCAAATGCTAAACCTGCAATACCAAGTGTTGGTAAGATGTGGAGCCACAGGAACTCTCACCTGGTACTCGGTGGGAGTACAAAGTGGTACAGCCACTCTGGACAGCAATTTGGAAATATCTAGTAAATCTGATGGGGCACTGGTAGTTCAGTGTGAGAGACCTGGGTTTGAGTGCCGGCCAATGAATCTCATGTGCAGCCACCACCTGTCTGCCAGTGGAAGTTTGTGTGTTGCTATGATGCTGAACAGGTTTCAGCAGAGCTTTCAGACTAAGACGGACTAGGAAGGAAAGCCTGGCGATCTACATCCAAAAATCAGCCAATGAAAACCCTACGGATCACAGTGGTCCGATCCCAGTGTGCATGGGGTCACCACGAGTCAGGGGCTGACTCAACGGCAGCTAACAACAACAACAGTAACTTCGAAGGTGCTCATACCCTATGACCCAGTCCTAGGAACACACCCTCCTACCCTAGGAATGGAGCCCTGGTGGCGCAGTTAAGATCTTGGCTGTTAACCAACAGCTCAGCAGTTCGAATTCACCAGCCGCTCCTTGGAAACTCTAACGGGCAGTTCTACTCTGTGCTATAGGGTCACTATGAGTTGGAATCAACTCGACAGCAACAGGTTTGGTTTTGCTGGGTTTTAATCCTAGGAATATACCCTAGAAAAATTCCCAGACACCTGCCCCATTGTTTGAAATAGCGAAACGCTGGAAACAACCTAGACATCCATCAATAGCCGAGTGGATACATAGACTGCAGACTATTCACAGGATAGTGTGATAATAACAGTAATAAAATTTATGTAATAATAAATTACAGCAATAAACAGTAATAAAAATTAATGAACCAGAGCTATACATGGATAAATCGTCATGAGGGAAAAGCAACTTGTAGAAGAATACATGTAGCATGATGCTCTTTATATACAGCTCAGAGACAAGCAGAACAGTAGTATTTACTGCTGTACAATGCATACATATACAATAAAAGTACGAAGAAATACATGGGAGTGAATGAATAAATTAAAAGTAGCACATACTTTTGGAAGAGAGGAAAGGGGATATAATAAGAGATAAGCAAAAAGGAGGCTCCATCTGCATTGGTGATACTTTATTTCTTAAGCTGGGAGGCAATTCATGGGTAATTTTTTAAAAGAAAGGGCATGAAGCAGCTTTAGAAAAATTCTGGAGACTATCATTGTCTAGAACTACATTGTAGTACCTACAATACCATAGCCACGCCCATGTGCGGCTATTAAGCACTTGAAATGTGGCGAAACGTGGGGAAACTCCTCAAGGAGCTTGGGCTGTATTGTATGTAAATGGATGAAAATATACACTGCTTTAGAAGACTTAGTACAAAAAAAAGAATGTAAACTATCTCATGAATACTTTTTTTTTATTGATTACATGTTGAAATGATAATATTTTGGATATCCTGCATTAAATAACATGTATTCTTAAAATTAGTTGCTTGTGTTATTCAAGTTAATTTAAAATTACGTATGAGGCTCACATGGTGTTTCTCTTGGATGGCACTGCTCTAGAAGACACAGTTTCCCTTTACATCTTGAGTGTCCTCCATAGCTCAGAATCCAACATGACAAACGGAAACACACCCAAGAAACGCAGTATACGGGGAGCGTGGAATTCAACTATTTCTTTATCTAACCCTTTCCTCTGCCACCGCCAACAGACTGCCAACATCTCCAATGTTCTTTCTCCCCTTCTTCCTTTCAGTAAGAGAATGCCCCTGGAGTTCCACCTGGGCAAGTGGCTGCCCATGGAGCCCTGGTGGCACAATGGTTAAGCGTTCAGCTGCTAACTGAAAGGTTGGCAGCTCAAACCCACCCTGTGGCTCTGTGGGAGAAAGACCTGGCGATCTGCTTCCATACAGATTACAGCCTAGAAAACCCTACAGGGCAGCTCTACTCTGTCTCATGGGGTTGGAATCGACTCGACAGCACCCAGCAACAACAACCCGGCTGCCCAGACCACATTTCCCAGACTCCACTGAAGGTACGCTTGGCCATATGACTAAGTTCCCGCCATGTGGCTAAGCACAGTGATAGACATAATATGTCATGTCACTACTTAAAGGATAATTGCTAAAAAAAAGGACATTTCTTGTCCTCCACTTCCTCCCTGCCCCTCTTCTCACAAGCCAGAACAAAGACGTAATAGTGACCCAGCTTCAACCAAAGAGATCAGGCTAACACCCTACAGCGTGGTGAAGCAATGAGAAGGAAGGACCCTGAATCCTTCCCAGAATGATCGCATGGAACAGAGTCATCCCCCTAGTCGGGGCTGCCTGCTCATGTCTGGACTTGGACTGTCATAACGAGCAAAACACAATCATATTGATGCCTCTGAATTGTGGGGGTATCTTTGTTACAAGTGGCTAGTCTGCCCCTTAACCAATGCAGGTACTTTCACAGGCATCCTTTCATTTAAGCCTCACAGCCACCTTCAGAAAGTGGAGCTGTGACTCCATCGTGCAGATGGGAAAACTGAGGCTCAGAGATCTGCCAGCGTGAACAAAGTCACACGGGCTAGTATGTGACAGAACTAGTATTCTAACCCATATCTCCTCTAATTAAGCCACAGCTGTCACAATAACACTGCGAACTGCAGCTCCAGAACAAGGTATTTAAAAAAGAAACCTTATTTAATATAAAAGCAATATAACCTTATTATACAAAAATTTGAATAGCGGGGAAACAAAACATCCCCAATTCTACCACTCCAACAAGTTCATCACTATCCTTTTACTATACTTTTTTCAGTCTTTTCTCCTATATTTTCTGTAGTGAATTGAATGATGCCCCCCTAAAAGATATGTCCATATTCTAGAATCTGTGAATGTCACCTTATTTAGGAAAAGGGTCTCTGCAGATGTAATTAGGCTGAGGACCTTGAGATGATCCTGGATTACCCGTATGGGTCTGACATCCAATGACGAATATCCTTAGAAGACAGAGAAAAGGACAAGGCACAGACAAGAGGACCAGGTGAAGACAGCGGAAGAGACTACAGCTTTGCTATCACAAGCCAAGGAATGCCTAGAGCTCCCAGAAACTGGAAGAGGCAAGAAAGGATCCTCTCCTACAGCCTTTGCAAGGAATGTGGCCCTGCCAACACCTTGGTTTCAGATTTCTGGCCTCCAGAACTGTGAGAGAATAAGTTTCTGTTGTTTTCAGCCACCCAGTTTGTGGGAATTTGTTACAGCAGGCCTAGGAAACCAATACAGTTCTTTTTATAAATTGTTGGGACCCCAGTGAGTATACACTTTCGCTTCCTGTTTTGTTTCTGCTTTATATCATAATCATTTTTCTTTGTCACTACTTTTTTAAACCCAAATTTTTAATGATTCCCCTCAAGGTTGGGCTTTTTGGTCGTTTTCAATTTGGGGCTGCTAAGGCTCTCTTTCGGGCATGTGGCTTTTTGCACAGTTTGCAAGGGTGAAGTTTAATTCTGACGCTTGGGAGCGGACCCAAGAGCAGCCTCGCCAAGGTCAGAGTCTGTCTTGCCCAGGGCCACAGCTCGTCACTCACCCGCACGTCCTGCTGCCTGGCTCGCACGTCCTCCAGCGCTTTCGATGCCCCGTTGATCTGACTGTACACGATGGCCAGTTTTTGCTTCAGCTTGGTCTGTGGAGAAAACAAACCAAGTGAGAGGGCGCCTCTTTGCTCCAGCCCAACACCAGGGTCCAACACCAAGGGCAACCCCCGGAATCTGTCCACCAGGTATTTCCTCCACCCAAGCCTTGCCCACTTTTCAAAGTATTCTCACACTTACTGCCTCCCTTCATTCTTCTAGGGGAACAAGATTTAGTACAAGATTTAGCATACCCATGTTCACTGCGGCACTAGTCACAAGAGCCACAAGGTAGAAACCGCCCAAATGTCCATCAACCGACAAACAGATAAACAAAATGTGGGATATCCATACAAGGGACTATCACTCTGCTGTAACGAGAAATGAAGTCTTGATACATGCTACAACATGGATGAACCCTGAAAACATTACGCTGAATGAAATTAATCAGTCACAAAAGGACAAATATTGTTTGAACGCACTTATATAAAATACAATAGGCAAGTGTATAGAGATCAAAGTTTACTAGTGGTTACGGGTGGAGGGGAGCACACTGCTTAGGGACGCAGGGGACGCTAAGCTTCTGTGAAGAGTGATGGAAAAATTCTGTAATGGTTAATGGTGATGGCTGAACAACATGATGGACACAATGTCACTGAAGTGTACGTGCGAAGACTGTTAAAATGGCAAATGTTTTTGTTACCTATATATTTACCACAATTAAGGAAAAAAAATAGAGTGCAGGGTTTGGAGCAAGACAGATCGGGGTAAAGTCCCAGTTCCAACTGCACCACATCTCTCACCTCAGTTTCCTTGGCCACAAAATAGTTGTAACTGCTGTTCCCACTTCACAGCGTTGTCAGGAAGATTAAATGAAGTAAGTACTCAGCACAGGGCCTGGATCTCAGTTAGGACATACTAAGTGTCCGCTTGTATTCTTACGAGTTTCTTCACTATTACCCATTTTACAGCTGATAAGACTGAGGCGAGGAGAACAGCAAGGTGGCCAGGTTCATACAGAGACAGAAAGAGTGGGATAGCTACAGGGTGTAAGGGAGTGCACCCACCTGCAGATGTAGCTTAGCTTGTGGATGTCTCTGCATACATATTTGTAGACGTTGCATGTATACTAATTTAGACAATAGAACACACAAGGAGCACAGTCATAGAAACTTCTTATGTGCAAACACCTCCCAAGACGAAGATATTAGGCTTGAAGGCTAAGGACCATAGATCTGGGGGACTTCTACATCAATTGGCATAACACAGTGCATAAAAACAATGTTCTACATTCTCCTTTGGTGAGTAGTGTCTGGGGCCTTAAAAGCTTGCAAGCGGCCATCTAAGATACAATTAGTGGTCTCTTCCTGTCCAGAGTAAAGGAGAGTGAAGAAAACCAAAGATTCAAAGGAGCAATTAGTCCAAAGAACTAACGAACCACATGCACCACAGCCTATATGACCTCGAGACCAGAAGAACTAGATGGCGTCTGGCTACTACCACCCACAGCTCTGACCGGGATCACAATAAGGGTCCCGGACAGAGCAGGAGAAAAATGTAGAACAAAAATATCAAATTCATGAAAAAAGACTAGACTTACTAGCCTGACAGACACTGGAGGAACCCCAGAGACTATGGGCCTAAGACATCCCTCTGACTTGGAACTGCACCCATTCCCAGAAACCACCTTCCAGTCAAACAATAGACAAGCCTATAAAATAAACAATAACACCTGAAAAGAACAGACAATTATACGAAACCAAAAGGGCAACATTTGCCCAAAAGTAAAGATGAGAAGGGAGGAAGGGATAGGGAAACCAGACAAAAGGAAACAGGGAACACAGGGCGGAAATGGGGAAAGTGCTGACACACTGTGGGACTGAACTAATGTCATGCAACACTTTGTGTAGTTTGTTGAATAAGAAACTAATTTGCTCTGTGAACTTTCACCTAAAACACAATTTAAAAAAAAAAAAGAGTGGGATAGCTGCTTCAGTAATGACAGATGAGGTCATTCCAACAACCCTTCCACTGTAAACAACCAGAAAAGCAGACAAGATATTAAAAAAAATAAAACGGCCTAAGGACATTGGAGAGCTAACAAAGCAAGGAAGGAGCCAAGATCCGGAAGAAGAAGACCCAGAGAGATAAGCCTGGCATCTGGGGTTGTTATTCCCAGATGCATCTGCCAATTCTAAAAGACAACTGAGAAAGCCTCAGCCTCAGGGAGCCAGAAGGACAAAAATCAGGGTCCCAGTCCAGCACCACTAGATGGTGCCCGGCTACCACCACCGACTGCTCTGACAGGGATCACACTAGAGGGTCCCGGACAAAGCTGGAGAAAAACGTAGAACAAAATTCTAACTCACAGAAAAAGACCAGATTTTCTGGTCTGACAGAGACTGGAGAAACCCCAGGAGTATGGCCTCCAACACCCTTTTAACTCAGTGCTGAAGTCACTCCTGAGGTTCACCCTTCAGCCAAAGACTAGACAGGATCATAAAACAAACACTAATACACATAGCTCAACGATGTATACAAGACTAAATGGGCACATTAGCCCAGCGGCAAGGACGAGAAAGCAGGAGGGGACAAGAAAGCTGGATCAATGGAAATGGGGAACCCAAAGTCGAGAAGGGGAGAGTGTTGACCTGTCGTGAGGTTGGCAACCAATGTCAGAAAACAATATGTGTATTAATTGCTTAATGAGAAACTAATTTGCTCTGTAAACCTTCATCGAAATCACAATTGAAAAAAAATTCTAAAAAAAAAATCAGAGTCCAAGGTTCACCTGGTGAACCTCCCCAGGCTGGGACCACCAAGGGTGACATCCGAGGAATAAGGAAGAAGAAGCTGTGTATCAGTACGCAGGGGCTGAGGTTCAGCTGCAATTGAATTAATGTGATTCAGAATTGCTAGGCCCCATATCACCTCCAGAAACAAAGGTAAATTGTCCATGAGGGAAGATATAATCATCCTAGGCTTCATATTCTATAATTACTTCTATAATTTCCATAATCAATATCTGAGTCTCCTAGTTCCCTGCTCAGAGAAAATGCTGGGGCACAGAAAAGGAAAGGAAAATAGCAACCACTGCCACCATAATAGCAAAACCAGTTGCTGTCAAGTCAATTCCAACTCATAGCGACCCTATGCATGTTGGAATAGTACCGCACGCCATAGGGTTTTCAATGGCTGATTTTTCAGAAGTAGATCACCAGGGCTTTCTTCCTAGGCACCTCTGGGTGGACTTGAACCTCCATCCTTTCAGTTAGTAGCCAAGCATGTTAACCATTTGCACCACCAGAGACTCCACATCATCATAACTACCCATTCCCGTAGAGTCTATTCCGACTCATAGCGACCCTATAGGACAGAGTAGAACTGCCCCATAGGGTTTCCAAGGCTGCAGTCTTTACGGAAGTAGACTGCCGCTTCTTTCTCATGCTAGCAGCTACTATTTATTATGTACTTACTATATCACTGGAGGAGCCCTGGTGGCACAGAGGTTAACAGCTCGGCTGCTAACCGAAAGGTTGGCAGTTCGATTTACCAGCTGCTCCTTGGAAACCCTGTGAGGCAGTTCTGCTCTGTCCTATAGGGTCACTATGAGTCAGAATCGACTCGATGGCAATGGGTTTTATATCCCTAGTAAGGAGCCCTGGTGGCGAAATCCTTAAGCACCAGGCTGCTAACCAAAAGGTTGGTAGCTGGAACCCACCAAGCAGCTCCACGGGGGAAGCCCTGGCAATCCGCTCCCATAAAGATGGTAGCCTAGGAAACCCTATGGGCAAAAACCAAAAAACCAAACTACTCAATTCTGTAGAGTCGCTATTTGTTGAAATCGAATTAACGGCACACCACAATAACAACATATGCCGGGTACTTTCCAAGTGCTTTACATATATTAACCTATTTAAATCTAACAACAACTAGATGAGATAGGAACTATTATTATCCCCACTTTACAGATGAGGACCTGAGGCACAGAGAAATAAGTGAGTTGCCCAAGGTCATACAGTTACTAGCTAGTAAATCTAAGATTCCAGTGTTACAGTTATGGACACAGGTCCCAATCTGTGAACACTGGAAACTTCTAGAAAAAAGATTCAGTTCCCCTAACTAGCTGGTTCAACATACTTTCACTTTCCTGCCTCTTCCCCTCCACCTAGAATATTCGGAGCTGAACATGATGACCTTCAACCTGGATTTGACAACCCAGTGACAGTCACATGTAAGGGCTGGAAATAGGAACCAAGGTTGCACTAAGCGGACCCTGAAAGCAGGGCTTCGAACCACTCGAACCTTTTGAACAAGTTCCCAGGAAGTTATACATAAGACTCACTCAGGGGATCTTGCTAAAATGTAGATTCTGATTCAGTATATCTGGGGTAGAAATACAAATTCTCAGCGGGGAACTTGTTAGAAATGCAAATTCTCAGTGAGGGTTCAAACCAGAATGAACCAGTTCAAAGCCCTGCCTGGAAGTCCAAGCCACTGAAGATGTTTCAGACTCGACCTCTATGACGATGCCCTTTGACCCGGCCTCCAACAGTGGCCGAGATAAGGTGTGGGCCAAAGGCAGAAGGCCAGGCCCTGGCAGATCCAGCCTCTCTGGATCTCAGAACTGGAAAAGACCTCAAAACACCCAGGGGCTGCCAACTGTTTTACTTCCAAGGGCGCTTTTAGTACTGTACCCTGGATCCCTGAATTTCAAAAGATTTTATCTATGATTAACCAAACACATCTGAGTCCTCTGACTGTAGACAGGGCCCCTCAGGGTCCAGACAAAAGGAAAGTGGCCCAAGAGCTTTGACTAGCTGCAACAGTAGCTAATCAAAGGTAGAGAGTTTTTTGAAGTTCTGAAGAGTCCTTCACAGCCTGAGCCCTGAGGAGCACGTGAGAGGCACCAGTCCTGACTCTGTCCTGCACCAGTGGCCAGGACAAGCCAGCCATCCAAGGCTGGGGCACTGCCCAGATAGGGCTGGCTCTGTACCTGGTAGTGAGTAGGAGTGGGGTTTGAAAAGGAGACCAGTTAAAGGATTCAACAAGCCAAGACAGCGGGGCTGAGGGAGGGCGAAGTCGGGAAGGCCTGTTTTGGGATTAAAAAACCAAGCGTGTACAGGACACAGATACGCTGGGAGGGGCCTCCAGCTCTGAGATGTGCAGACTGAAAGAGATCTGTGGCTCTCAGTCCAGGCCAGGAGGCTACTCCAGCCCCTACTTGCCTCTACAGGTAAGAACTTCTAGAAGGAACTCTCTGCAGGAGCCAGGCTGACCTAGTTCTCACCGCCAGGCCTGTGCACTGTGAGGCAAAGAAAATTTGGGTAGCCTGATCCCCTGCAAGCTGCCCCAGGGCACCCTCAACCCAGCAAGCTCTCCTCTTCCCAGGCCTGCGTAACGGTAGTTATTATGGAGCTTGTTCTGTAAACCGATTTTTCTACAGTGTCTCATTTAATCCTCACGATAACTTCCTGATGTTGTGGTTATTGTTAGTTGCTGCGGAATCAGCTTTGACTCACTGCATCACAATGTAGAACAGCACAAAATGTTCTCCAGTTCTGCATCATCTTCACAATTGTCGGTATGCTCGAGTCCACCGCAGCCACTGTGTATTTTGTATATTTTGAGTGCCTTCCAGCACGACAGTCTGACAATATTCTGTTGTGATCTATAGGTTTTCATTGCCTAGTTTTTGGAGGGAGATTGCCAGCCCTTTCTCCCTAGTCTGTCTTAGTCTGGAAGCTACACTGAAACCTGTCCAGCATAGGTGATCCCGATGCTATTTGAAATACTGGTGGCCTAGCTTTCAGCAAAGGAGCCCTGGTGCCGAAAACAGTTAAGCGCTCAGCTACTAACCGAGGGAGATAGACCTGGCAATCTGCTTCCATAAAGATTACAGCCAAGAAAATCCTGTAGTGCAGTTCTACTCTGTCACATGGGGTCTCTATGAGTAAAAATCAACTCAATGGCACCCAACAACAAAAAGCTTCCAGCATCACAGCAACACACAAGCCACCACAGTACAACAGACTGGCAGATGGTGGAAGCTCCTGATGTTGTTGCTGATGTTAGGTGCTGTCGAGTCAGTTCCAAGTGAGTGCTTCAAGTCTACTTTGCTTTCAGCAAGCAAGGTTGTGTCATCTGCATATTGCAGGTTGTTAATGGGTCTTCCTCCAATCCTGATGCCGCATTCATCTTCATATAGTCCAGCTTCTCAGATTATTTGCTCAGCATACAAATTGAATAAGTATGGTGAAAGGATACAACCCTGACACATTACTATTCCTTTTTATGATTTCCCAGCTAGGACACAGAGCTAGGATTCAAACCCAGCTCTCTCTCAACACCCAGCTTTGACCTGGAGAAACAGGTGGACAAGGAAGGGCTGTAACCCAAATCAGGGAGGCCTGTACTCTGGACCCAGTGCTGCTGCACCCTCTACCCCCCGACCTCGCCCAGCCCTCGTGTCTCCTTTAACAAAACAAGAAGAGCCCTTGTTCTCTCTGACAGTGCTGTGAGCACGAAGTGAAATAAGGCTGTGCTTTGGAACTTAGAGTGGTGTACCACTCAAGGTGGTTTGATTACATCTTTCAGCCTCTGCCTTGAGTCCACGGAGAAAGAGTATGATCTCTCCAAACCACTGAGAAGATCACAAGCCAAGGCCCGTTAGGAATCCACCTAGGCTCACCTTGTTTCACTGATGAGGCCCCAAACCAGAGGCTACATCGTTTGCTCAAAGTCACACAGTAAGGAAAGGGTGCTGTGGTGCCACAGGCTGGCTCCCCCTGTGGGTCATATCCAGGGAGTTCTGGGGCTTTGCACACCCTCTCCGTCTTCTAATAACAACAACCCTCCCTGGTCAACAGAACTCTCTGGGTTACCAGAAGCTTTTGCTTACATGACCTCAAGCCTCTGAGAATGTCCGGTGCCCTGGACTCTCCATACCTATAGATCTGAGGCTGGTCCCTGGAGACCACATAGCATGGAGTCAAACCAACTTTGGTCCCAATGCCCACTCCATCACTTACTGCATTAAACAAACAAAAAAAAAAAACTCACTGCTGTCCAGTCGATTCCAACTCATTGCGACCCTACAGGACAGAATAGAACTGCTCCATGGGGTTTTCAAGGCTGCATCTTTCTCCCGCGGAGCAGCTGGTGTTTTCCAGCAACCGACAACTCGGTTAGCAGCCGAGCACTTTAACCGCTGTGCAACCAGGGCTCTTACTGCATTACCCGGGGCTAGATATAATCTCTCTGGACCTCAGTTTCCTCAACTATAAAATGAAAATACTAAGACTTATCTCCTGGGCGATCCCAGAACTTAATGAAGGACAGAAGTAACCTCCAGGGCTTATATTTAACATTTTAAACCCTCTACAAAACACCATTAGACAAGCGCAAGGCTTAAGGCAAGCCACCTTTGCTGCGTCTTCAGCTTTCCCCTCTGTAAAATGGGGGTGTGTTGGGGAGGCTGTATGATCCCCAGCTCCTTTCTACTATGACATTCTGGATACCCCTGCCCTCCATTTCAGGCCCAGCAAAGCCAATACCCCTAGGGGATCCAAGGTATGGCAGAGGTGCCCTCTGTGCAACCCAACCCCCCCACCCCTGGCGCCCCCTACCTCCAGGTCGGTGCTGGCCTGGCTCAGCGGCGCCGGCGAGCAGGCCTTGTGCTCCACCAGGCAGATGTGGCAGATGCACTCGCCGTGCTCGGGGCAGAAGAACTCCCGCAGCCGGTTGTGCTGGGAACACTTGCGGTGCAGCAGGTCACGGATAGGTGGCTGCAGCGGGTGGTCCTGGAAGACCGGGCTGTCGAGGTGCGGCTGCAGGTGCTCCTGGCAGAAGGAGGCCATGCACACGAGGCATGTCTTGGCGGCGGCCGCCTTCAGGCAGTGGTCGCAGGCCACCTGTTCGGCCGCGCTGGGGTCCGCGGATCGGGCGGGCGGCGTCCAGCAGTCGACCGACACCGCCCGAGCCTGCTCGGCGCTCAGGAACTTCTCCACCACGGTGCACAGCACGGTGTTCTTGTTCAGCTGCGGCCGCGTCTCGTAGACGGCGCGGCATTGCGGGCACCGGTACGGAGAGCCCTGGACGGCCCACGTCTCGTCCAGGCAAGAAGCGCAGAAGTTGTGGCCGCACGGCGTGGTCACCGGCACCCTGAAGAGCTCCAGACAGATGGAGCACGACAGCTCCTCCGCCAGTGGGTCCAGCTCCGCCATGGCGTTCCTCGGGACTGGAAGCGTTAGAACCGAGGCTGCTGCACTGTTGCCCCGAGGTTGTGAGGAAACGAAACTGTTCAGGGGCCAGGGCGGTCCCCGCAGCCTCTAGGAAGTCACGTGGGGCGGGGGCGGGTCGTCTGGCGGGCGGGCGATGGAGAGGGGGCGGGCCGCGGACAAGCCGGCCATAGGATGAGCGACATTAGTACCCCGATGGCTTCCGCCCGGTGGGCGCGGGGCGCTGGGCTCGGCGCTTGGTGCGCGGGGTTTCAGACGGTCCTTACAACTAGATGATGTGGCCATCGGCACATCGGCACGAACACGTGGAATGCGGAGGCCTGGACCTTCAGTCACAGCCAAGGTCCAGTGGGGCTTCCGCACAAACTGCTTCTGGATAAGTTCCCTTCCTCCGAGAGCTCATTCGAAATCCGACATGCCCTCCTCCCTTTCCTGGTTCCTGGGAATCGACTCGACGGCAACCGGTTTGGTTTTTTTTTTTTTTTGGAGGTGTGGGGGAGTCTTAGTAAGCGTACGACCCCTGGAGTTTGGAGCTCACGCCCACGCTCAGACCTAAACTGAGTGACTCGTTTCCATTCCATTAATCTAACAGGATTTTATTTTTAATTCTCATTTCTACTTTCCTGGAATTTGAAGACACCCAGTTTAATAAAGGTTTACAAACACATATACACACACTTACACACATCTATAACATAAGAGCTTAAACATTTTTCTCAAAATTGCTTATTTAAATTTCCTTTAATTTTTAGCTCTATTCGTCCCCTTCTCTGGCCTGGGTGCAGGAAAAATGAGTGAACAAGAGGCTAGATGAGTTTAAGAGAGGAGATGAGATGGTGGTAAAGAGAAAGATTGTGGCTTAGGAGAGGTTAATTGGAGTTTGCATTAGGTACACAAAACCAAACCCATTGTCATGGAGTTGATTCTGACTCATAGCAACCCTATGGGACAGAGTAGAACTGCCCCATAGGGTTTCCAAGGAGCGGCTGGTGGAGTCACACCGCCGACCTTTTGGTTAGGTACACGGTGGGTGGCAAAAATGAGAAAAAGGTAAATGCCTTAGAGTACTGCTAATAGTAACAGCAGACCCTGGTGACAGTGGTTAAGAGCTCAGCTGCTAACGAAAAAAGTTGGTAGTTTGAATCCACTGGCCACTCCTTGGAAACACTGTAGGGCACTTCTACTTTGCCCTATAGGGCCGCTATGAATCGGAATCCACTTAGCAACGGGTAATAGTAATAGCTACCACTTATTTATTTATATGCAACCTACTGTGTACTAGGCAAGTCACATATAAAAAAAACCCGTTGTCGTCAAGTGGATTCCGACTCATAGCGACACTATAGGACAGGGTAGAACTGTCTCACAGAGTTTCCAAGTCTGCAGTCTTTACCAAATCGGATTGGCACATCTTTCTCCTGCAGACTAGCTGGTGGGTTCAAACTGCCAACCTTTCGGTGAGAAGCTGAGCACTTAACCGTTGCACCACCAGGGCTCCTTTTATGACAACAATAATTCTTATAAACTCCACAAGACAGATGTCATTATATCCGTTTTACAGATGAGGGTCAGATAACTTACAGAAAGCAGGACTAAAATTCTAGCCAAGGACTGCTTAACTCAATATTCTACCCCGCCCCCGGTTCCCATAATTCTCATCCGGCAGGTTCCTATTCCCCCAGGATCCTTTACTCAATTTGTTCTCTTTCCTGTGGGTTTTTTGTTGATGATGTTTTTGTTGGTTTTTTTGTTTTTTTGCATGGGGGAGAGACAGAAGAAGGATGAGGGAGTGCAGGAAATTAAGATTTGTTCATAATAAATCTTAATTCTTACAACAAATCTTTGAGGTAGTTATAATTATCTCATGTTACAGCTGAGGAGGCCCTGGTGGTGCAACGGTTAAGCACTCCACTGCTAAACAAAAGGTCGGAGTTCGAACCCATCAGCTGCTCTACAGGAGAAAGATGTGACAGTCTGCTTCTGTAGTCTTCTGTAAAGATTACAGCCTTGGAAACCCTATGGGGCAGTTCTACCCTGTCGTATAGGGTCGCTATGAGTCAGAATTGACTCATGGGCAATAGGTTGAGGAAATGGAGGCTTGGAAAAACTAAACAACTTATCTAAGACAATGGATATTGTCACCCAGATTATCTGATTCCAGAAGCTAAACTTTTATTACTACAACATGCTGCTTTCCAAGGCGGAGTGGGGTGTTTCCAGGAAATAAACACTATGAAATCCTCCATGACTAAGCTCGAATGGGGGAAGTGGCCTGGTGATTCATGCCAGAATGTTTGTGGAACTCTTTAGGCGGAGAGGTTTAGAAGGGCTGGTTGGATAGTGAAGATGACTAAGAGGGATTGTTTATCAAATTCAGTACTTAGACCTGCTACGCAACAGCGATGATACTGGGTGCTGAAGGAATCAACTGTGAGTCTAACAGAGGCCTGCATTCTAATACAAGGCAGAAGAGGAGAGCACAAAGCAGAAAAAGGAAATAGGGTGAGAGGTCAATTCCTGCTGGGAAGATGGAGTCCTCATTTGCAAAATAGGAAGCCTGATAATACCTTTTTCATGGGGATGTTGTGGACACAAAATGAACAGCGTGTAAAGCACACTAATGCAGGTGGGAATCCAGTTGCCATGCAGTCAATTCTGACTCACAGCCACCCCATGTATTTCAGAGTAGAACTGCGCCCCATAGGGTTTTCAATGGCTGTTTTTTCAGAAATAGATGGCCAGGCCTTTCTTCTGAGGCACCTCTGGGTAGATTCGAAGAGCCAATCTTTCTGTTAGCAACCCATTGCCCTCAAGTCAATTCTGACTCACGGTGACCTCATATGTTACGGAGTAGAACTGTTCCATAGGGTATTCTTGGCTATAATCTTTACAGAAGTAGATCACCTTTCTTCCATGGTGCCACTGGGTGGGTTTGAACCATGAACCTTTAGGTAGTAGCCGAGCACTTAGCCATTTGCACCACCCGGGGACTCCACGGGTGGAAATAGGACATCATAAATGTTAACACTTGTGAGGGGCTAGTGGAGGCCCAGAAAGTGTACCTGGGCTAGAGGGTGTGTTTATTGTTAGTAACCTCAGCTGAGCAACATTCTCAAGTCAAATGTGATCCCAGCTCATCAAGAGGGACCAAGATGGTCTAGTCCAGCAGATGACTATCTTAACCAGATTCCCAGTCTGCATCTGTAGATTGGGAGAATTAGGCAGAATAATAAACCTCATTTGCCTGCAAATATTTTTTTTTTCTAAATTTTATTTATTGTTTGTGCTGAGAATATACACAGCAAAACATACACCAACAGTTTTTATATGTACAATTTAATGACATTACTTTCTTTGAATTGCACAACCATTCTCACCCTTTTTTTATGAGCTGTTCCTTCCTCATTAACATAAACTCACTGCTCCTTAAGGTTCCTATCCATTCTTTCAAGTGTCATTGTCAATTTGATCCCTTATGTTGTTGTTGTTAGGTGCCATCTAGTCGGTTCCGACTCATAGCGACCCTATGTACAACAGAACAAAACACTGCCTGATCCTGTGCCATCCTGACAATTGTTCTTATGCTTAAGCCCATTGTTGCAGCCACTGTGTCAATCCATCTCATTGAAGGTCTTCCTCTTTTTCGCTGACCCTCTACTTTACCAAGCATGATGTCCTTCTCCAGGGATTGGTCCCTCCTGAAAACATGTCCAAAGTATGTGAGACGTAGTCTCGCCATCCTTCCTTCTAAGGAGCATTCTGGTTGTACGTCTTCCAAGACAGATTTGTTCATTCTTTGGGCAGTCCGTGGTATATTCAATATTCTTCTCCAACACCATGATTCAAAGGCATCAATTCTTTGGTCATCTTTATTTATCGTCCAGCTTTCACGTGCATAGGAGGCAATTGAAAACACCATGTCTTGGGTCAGGCACACCTTAGTCTTCAAGGCGACATCTTTGTTTTTCAACACTTTAAAGAGATCTTTTGCAGCAGATTTGCCCGATGCAATGTGTCTTTTGATTTCTTGACTTCTGCTTCCATAGGTGTTGATTGTAGATCCAAGTAAAATGAAATCCTTCACAACTTCAATCTTTTCCCCGTGTATCATGACATTGCTTATTGGTCCAGTTGTGAGGATTTTTGTTTTCTTTCTGTTAAGATATAATCCATACTGAAGGCTGTAGTCTTTGATCTTCATCAGTAAATGCTTCAAATCCTCTTCACTTTCAGCAAGCAAGGTTGTGTCATCTGCATAAAACAGGTTGTTAATGAGTCTTCCTCCAATCCTGATGCCCTGTTCTTCTTCATATAATCCAGCCTCTCAGATTATTTACTCAGCATACAGATTGAATAGGTATGGTGAAAGGATACAACCCTGATGCACACCTTTCCTGACTTTAAACCAGGCAGTATGCCCTTCTTCTTTTCGAATGACTGCCTCTTGATCTACTTACAGGTTCCTCATGAGCACAATTAAGTGTTCTGGGATTCCCATTCATGGCAATGTTATAGATAGTTTTTAAAAGAGCATAATGCTCAAGGCAGAAATTTTTTACTACTATTTAAGCTAAACTTTTGTTTGGTTTTAAGACAACTTCAGAGGATATTTTTGGTTTAAGGTTTAAACATTATCTCAGCTTCCGGGCAACATGACACTATAGACAGAAGCACCATGCTGTCCCTCCAGAGCAAAGATCCGAAAAAACTAAGTCAAACAGAGACAAACATCAATCCTGAAACCCTAAGTACCAAATGAAGAGATAAAGAACTCAGTCAACCACTGAATGGAATAAGAAACTGACAGAGAACAGACAGTGAGGAGAGATACATGCAGAGGTCTGCTATCAGCTAACGCAGCACAGATCCACCATCTTGGACTCCTATTGGAGATCAGTGAACAGGCGGTATGGGAAAACAGCTCCATGGAGCTTCCAGCAGGAGATAGAACTACTGGTAACCAGCAATATACGCTTTCCCACCCCCCACACTTCTTCACCCCCACTCAGCCTCTTCTGCTTC